AAGGCTATTGCTGATGGTATCCGGCCAATGAATGTTGATTATCTTGAGTGAATGTTTACCATTTGATAAAATTGCTTTACGTAACTAAAAGCTCTCATAACGAAACGGCTACATATAAAGTGAGCACTTTTCGGTATACTTCCCCACAAAACTATGATAAATACAGAAATAACATTTGTGGAAAAGTTTATCGATACATCATTACTACTGACAAAGCAAGAACTACATTTGATGTAGAAATATGAGTCTACAAGTCATCAAGCTAAAAAACGACCACAAGGGATTTCTTATGGTCAACAGGATTCCTGTCACATCTTGACACTTATACTCTGAGCCATGTTTTATACGCAACAACAAATGCAGGAGAAGACGACCAGTGTAGCAGTAGTCTCAGCAGCAGTAGGTCACAATATACACAAAGGAAAAAGCGGGATTCTCCGATACAACACAGCACGCACCAATCCAATGACACTTGACGGAGAACATTTGGAAGATGTAAAACCCTTTACATATTTGCGCAGCATCATTGATGAACACGGTGGATCTGATGCAGATGTGAAGGCGAGAATCGGACAAGTAAGCGAAACATATCTACAATTGAAGAACATCTGAAAATCAAAACAACTGACTGTCAACAAATACCAAGGTCAAGATTTTCAACACAAATGTCAAGACAGTTCTACTGTATGGAGTAGAAACCATTAATAATACTTATGTACTTACACACCTGTTACTCCCAATGGAACATAGGCCATCGACCAGCATTCTTCAACACACTCTGTCCTCAGCCTTCCGTTCTAGTTCTATCCAATTTTCGTTCATTCTTCTCATGTCTGTCTGTCTCCATTTCTCAGCGTAATGTGTTCTTCGATCTGCCACTCCTCCTTTGGCCTTGAGGATTCCATGTGAGGGCTTACCTTGTGAGGTAGTTCAGTGCTTTTCGTAATGTGTGTCCTATCCACTTCCAGCACTTCTTCTTGATTTCTTCCTTCACTGGAATCTGGTTTGTTCTTTCCCATAGTGGGTTGTTCATACAATACATACAATAAGAAATTATTGAAAAGCACAATTTAAATAATACTCATTCATGTACAATAAATCTCAGTCTATAATTCGATCAAACATTTTTGATGATGTTTACAGCAATTCATACTCAATTTATATCACTGACACATTATCAGTTTGTATTCACCAACGATACAGTTCAGATATATCTTTTAGAACAAATATTCATGCAAAAATATGTGACTAATTAACAAGACACTTATAATGATGTGATGAACATTCGCTGTATGTGTTCAGAAGGCGGATAGAAAAAATATATCCGCATCATTTTTTCATTTAAACACATAAACATTAGTACAAGGACGCATCAAATAGATGTGCGACACATAAATCATTCGATTTATGTGAGGGCTGAGATACTGTCCGAGTGCCCAAATTGAAACAGGTGGTTGTGTTAGGAGGCCTTCGACCTAAAGGTCTAATCCACAATGCAGTAGAGTAATTTTAAGAAATGCAGTCCAATGGTATCCTGTGAACAACAATAAGTTCATACATCATTTATTCCTCCAGAATCCTGGAGCCCATGTGAACCATTGAATTGGAATCAGAGTCTTCCAACGTCCGTAAATGAATCCTCCATATTCACTAACTCAGCTAAAGTGTCGGATATTCGCTTTTCATTCTTCCAATTTCATAAACAACAGTAAACCCACGAGTAGGCAATAAGTAGGACTTCCTCAATAGGTGCTTTATATACATGGCCATGTGAGAGTATTTGGAGAGGATGAGCTGATTCTCCCCCCAATCCTCAGCCATATCAAGGCATTCAGGTTGTTTTGTTTACTTCCAAACACTTTATATTTCATAATTGAAATGTTTATTACTATGATTATGAATATGTGAAATTGTTTATGTTTCATTATTTTATAATTAAATTACATTTTTCCATTAAGATTTATATAAACAACATAGGCAATTGTTGTTCCATTTATCCACCTGTTATTCATAGTGGATTTACATATACAAAAGTAAATATACTATTCATTATAAGAAATAATAATACACATTACATTTACATGGTATTGTTTACTTGAATCTTCTTTCCATTGATGTTTAAGATTGTAACTGATCAGACTGTTATTGGTATATGTGTATACTGTGTGTATTGAATGGATATTGCTTTCATTCATAAAGATTATATGTAAAGATAGATAATGGTTAGCAGTGTTATACAAGATGAGCGTTTCGTCTTATTTGGAACTCATCAGATGGATGTACCTGCATCTCAGAGTTGATGTTCACTCTGGGACTTGAACTCAGTACCGTTTACTTCAAACGCCATCGTTTTATCTACTCACCAACTGAGTCCTTATAGACAGTTGCTTGTGTATTGAGTTCAAGTTTGAATTGTTTATTTGAATGTTCCCATTGATGCTTAGGATTGTAAGTGATCAGTCTCTTATTGACATATATGGATAGTGTGAGTATGGCCTCAATATAGCCTTAATTCACAAGTATTATAAGCACATACTAGTTGCTATCTGGACTCATTAACGAAGTTATTAACATGATAGCGTTTCAAGCGAAAGGTACTGGGTTTGAGTTTGGAATGAATATCAATTCTGGAATGTAGGTAAATCTAATTGCCAAGTGCGAAATAGGACAAAACACTTATCCTAGATTCCACTACTAGCCACTATCCATCAGAGAAGAGTTTTGTAGAGATTGTAGTAATTTAATAATTGAATTCATGAGTCGATTAAAGCTAGACCGCCATGGAAAACATGAAAGCATTGGAAGGCCGTTTCATTCTAGTATGGGACTTCTCAGCAGTGTACAAGATCCAAGATCCTACCCCGCGAGATTCAAATTTTAGATTTCATTTGATGAGTAGTCGAAATTATAGAGATTGTTATAGATGATAATTATGTTTATGAAAATAAGTTCATAACCCGATATAATATATGAATTAGGTTGAACAATGATATGTAATTAGGTAGTTAAAGCTAGAGAAGAAGAAAGAGAGAGATTGACAGGGAGAACGAGAGATTCATCATTGGTGTGTTTTACTCTTACTCTTTCTCTTCGTCTCTCTCCCTCTGAAACGTGTTGAAATGTATGTTGGAATGGAATATTGTCTAATTTAAATATACATCATTTTATGGAATCTAGTGAATACTTAGATGTTGGTATAGATGAGATGACAAGAACTATTTACCTCAATCAAAGAGAGATGAGTTAATAAGTTGAAGTGATTAATTGAATTTTGAATAAAAAAATAATATTTTGTTTGTATTGATTAAATTGAATATATATATGGACGGCCCTCAGGGTGAACTCAAGGAAGCTCTAAGAAGGTTTGAAAAAGCCGATGGCATTCTACCCAATCACCCTTTGGAAGAACATTCCAGAATCTCGACGTGTAGCTTCCCTATTGGATGAATTCTAAAAATTACTGTATGTGAATTGTACGACTATAATGATAATTTCGCTTCTTCTAAAAACTATAAATATCTGAGAGTTTCGTACCATATTTGGAAGTACATTCCTTCTCACTTATCTTCTGTCTTCTCATTTGTGACGTGAAAGGGTTCTAGTGTTCAAATGCTTAAGTTGTACGCGGTATATCAAGAATCTAACCTCTAGATATAACCATATATGTATATGTATGTATAGGTCCTAGCTTCGAATCTCTCGAGGCGAGAACGTAGACACACACTGCTGAGGAGTTCCACAATACAACGAAATGTTCGTCTAGTTCTTCTAGGTTCTCATTGATAGTTTAACATGAATCAGTTGAGGATTTCAATCAATCAATCAATCATCATCATAATAATCATCATCTATTATTCTTTACTATAAATGTCAATCATTTAAAAACATACAGTAATATACAAATAGAAATTAATGGACTTTCATAACTGATATTCATACGATTATTATTATAAGCCACCAAAGTAAATGAATGTGTTTTGTTTAGCCTCATTATTGTTTATATTTGATTGAATAATTAAGCTTTACAACTATTACAATGGACATCACTTTAAGTTTTATCTATTATGCAATAATAAATTGATTATCAATAATGAGAGAGAAGGGTTTTTCTCTTTACTTTTTTCTTTCTTTTTTTGGTAGACATGGGTTATTCTTTTGTTAGTATGATTATGAAAACCTAAATAGCCTATTTGTATTATTGGTGAGATAATGAAGTTAGACATGAATACTGTTGGTTATTGGCTTAATAGTCTAGAGGTTATATGTTTACACGAGAAACTTGAAGGTGTCTGAGTTCGAGTCTTGTTTGCGATAATGTGGATACGATTCTTTTTTTCTGAGAAGTTTTATACTAGAATAAAATGGCAATCGAGTATCTCCAGGTTTTCAATGTTGGTCTAACAATGATTAATTTAAAATCTCAATAAAAACTCAACAATCCCCTGGAGTTCTAGTGAGAAACCGTGAACAGTCGAGTAAAATCCGTGTCTAGTGGAAACAGTTATCTACTTCAGACAATGGATGAAAGGTTGTGCATGATCGTGGATCGATTAAAGTTAGACATGAATGCCGTTAGATGCCCGTTCAGTGGTCTAGAGGTTAAGTGTTCACAAACGAGACAAAAGGTTACGGGTTCGAGTCCTGCATGCAGTATCATCGATGCACACTGTTAAAAAAATCCATATTAATACAAAGTGACTATCCAGTACTTCCACGTTTCCAATGATGATCTAGATAGAATAGATCAACTCGTGGATTCAACAATTAAACATTACTAAAATCTTCACAAATCTCCCATCTTCATCAACAGAAATTTCCACTGTACATTACTGACCAAATGGATATTTAGAGTTTAAAAAATATTTTTTTGACTTTAGTTTGTTTATTTTTTACCTTTGAACACATTTGGTAAAATCTTTGTCAATCAATCAATGAATCAATCAATCAATCAAAGTAACAAAGAAACATACAAATTTTTCCGGTTATTACCTTTAGTTACCATGACAATTAAGTATTCAACTTCAATCATGTTAGTTCATTAATCATACTGTTTTCCAATTTCGCAACCTCATATTTAGTTATTACACTACTACTACTACTACTACTACTACTACTACTACTACTACTACTACTACTACTACTACTACTACTAATAATAATAATAATAATAATAATAATAATAATAATAATAATAATAATAATAATAATATAATTTCCCATTCTGTTCAATCAAAGTTTTTGGTCATTTTCTTTTTAAAACTTTATTAGCTAATTGTTCACCTTAGATTTAACTAACACCAGGAGTTTAGTACATTAAAAGATAATTGACTATCGGTAGATTGTAGTGCATTACTGATTGAAATCATGTTGGTTGTAAAGTAAATTTTAAAAAGGAAAAAAAAAGAAAAAACAGAAAGAAGATGGTCATTATTATGGTGAAATGATCATTAAAATAGTTTCTAATCATTTCATATCATAAAATTGTAGTGAACAAGAACACGAGTGGAGACAATAGAATGTATTTGACGCGGAATCGAGCCACTGTATACCATTGTTTTCAGTGGATTGGTTAAAGTTAGACACTAAAACCATTGAATTCCAGCTCAGTGGTCTTGGGTTCGAATCGTGAATGAGCACTGTTGAGGCGTCCCATACTAGGATGAAACGGCCGTCCAGTCCTATCAGGTATTCCATGGTGGTTTAGCTTCAATTGATTGGTGATTTCAACTATTGATATAGCAAATAGTTAATTTGCAAAATATCAATCCATCGTCTCAGATTTCATTGTCCATGCATTTTCATACCAATTGCGTTCTGTTCCCGTTCTTTACCTATCGATCTTCTGTTGAAATACATTCTATGCCTGACCATCGTTACTTACTACTTATATGGATATAAGCAACCCACACTACAGAATTTCTTTATTTATATATATGTGTATAGTGACGGTCAGAAAATACTGAATAGTTGTTTCGTTCCACTATGAATTTACATCAGGGATTCGATCTAGGACCTCTTAAAGAGTACTTAAGTTTTGAACCTACGATTTAATTTATGAACTGATATATGTGATTTAAAATGATTAGTTGATTTTAAAGTATCTTACGTAGACAATTTTTTAAAAAAAATAAATATTTTTACCTTTCTGATGATGATTGTGGTAGTTCTCCACGTTTCATCTCCGTACAATACAATTACCTATCTTGATATTCGTACTGAATATTCTGACTTTGATGTTGGCTTGCTGAAAATCGTTTTGAATTCTTTTATATATATTCTTCAATTATAGGAATGGTATCCTTGCTTTGTCAATCCTCACCTTTACGTTCCTATCCAATCCCCCTTGTTTATCGATAATATTGTTGTCCAAGTACATGAAAGTTTCTATACACTTATCAAATAAAGTTTACCTACTGTTTCCCAAAGTGTTCCATTTTTTGACATTCCCTATAGTGTTCAAATGTATTTCGGTCACAAAAAAAAGAGAAGAAAAATCAACAACTTGATAAACAATTAATGTAAAATATGAGGATCACAGTAACAAAACAAAAAAGGAAAACAAACTAAAAACAGTTACCCTCTTTGAAATAACCTAATTTTTACACAAGAGATTTAAAATATGATCATCATTAAAAATTGAAAATGAGGTTTGATTATGTGTAATATGAAAATAGAAAAAAAAAAGAAAAATTCTTTTTTCTATTGAATAATCATTAAAAAAAATAAATTAATCTCACCCTTATTGAATACAAAAAAAATGGTACACCCTTGCACCCCCTAACAACCACCCTCACCCCCCCGCACCAAAACAACAATACACAGCAACAACCACAACCACCACCACCACAACAACAACAACCACACCTCATTAATGGACAATTTTAACTTTCTAATTTGTTTAAATTGAATTATCATTATATAATGATTAGTTTCTACGTCTATTTTTTTTAACAATAAATGCATAAAACGTACTATTTAACCTATGTAATCATTATCCAATTCATTGTTCACTATAATATTCATTATGTTCATTATTTCATGGGAATAGTTGAATTCAATGAACATATGGCAGTAATCATAATAATAACTATTATAGAGTATAAAACAGTTCGAAATAACTACAAAGTATATATGTAATGAATAAAATGATATAGAACATACATTATTGTTTGAAATTTCATGCTGTGCTATAGTATCTATAAAGAAAATTAGTTTTTAAACAAAATGGGAAATGTTTAATCAATTAAGAAGAAACAAAAAAAAACGATGATCTTAATAGTATTATATGAACAATTTTACGTTGTTGAGGAAGTGGAGATAAGTATAGGACTTTAATTCACCCCTAAATGCCCCTGATACGGTTGAGAGTAGAAGGAGTCAACAGTCCTTCTCAAAATGCTGTCACATGATCACGTGCATATAACCACAAAGAATGAATTCCTACTCGTTACCTTCTCGCACCAGTGGTGTTGTTTACGAAATTGAGAGAATGGAAAACGAATATCCAGCACTTTAACCGACTCGGTGGATACTGAGGATACATCTAGGGGAGTTGGAAAACACTCATTTCAAACCAATGGAGCACATGGGCTCCAGGATCCTGACGGAACAAATGGTGTGTGGATCTATTGTTGGTCAACGGATACCATGGGAATACATCTCCGAATGTTGCTCCACTGCCTTTCGGATTAGATCTTCTAGTGGAAGGCTCCGTGTTTCGCTCCCTAAGAAAACCACGTGTTTCGGTTTGGGCACCCGGACAGTATCCCAATCCTCACACAAATCGAATGATTTATGTAGCGTTTATCTATTTGGTGCCTCCTTGTACCAATGTTTATGTGTTTAAACAAATAAATAAATACATAATGTTGTCAAGCCTTTCAATTGAGTCACTTGACATTGTACTATTCGGAACAGTAACAATTTGACTATATCTTTATATTCTCATTATCATACCTGTATGAACAAGTATACATAATCAAGTGTTACAGCTTACGTATTAGTTGTTTAAATCACACATATGGAGAAATTCGAACACTTCACTTCTATCTGAAGTTTGTGCTGATGATGTCGTTCAGAAGAACGATGAAAGCTCCACGACCAAGCCATCCAGCTCAGAGAACAAAACTCCACCAAAAAAAACCGTTTGAGATGATCTGGTAACGGTTGCGAGGACGAGTGTGTAGTGTCGGTTAATCTGTCAAGCCCATATAACTTATTCTAGCTTCTGGACAGGCGAATTTGTCTATTCTTTTTGAGTCACGTTTTGATCTTGTTAATTATTCACTTATCAACCCTGACTGTTTTTATATGACACTTTTGTATTATTCATGACGTCAAAATTTCCTGCTCTAAGTACTGAGTAACGCTTAATTAAATTTATTTGGCTCACCTACCTTCTCCGATCCGTTCATACATGATTTAATATGCTTTTTGGTGATTAATATTGATTAACAGGAAACCTAAATCAAACATAGGCTTCTGTCGATTTCACTAAAACATCTAATATCGAAATATGCATTACTTTATTTAACTATTTGTTAGTAAGTTGTTTGATTTTAGTCTACTTCGAATGGAGATACGGATAGATATCTAACTTCATGAAAAAAATGATTAAATTTTAATTTTATACGAGAAAAATGGACATAAAATTATATCATTTTAGTTGACATTATTCAGTAGTGTGCATGTTCAACCATGTCGAAAATGCAGGACGGTAACGTGGAGAAGAATGTTCTGACGGGGTGGTGTCTACCGTAGCAGTTGCTGTCGGCAGAGAGATGGAATGAGGCGCTCGGTCGCTGGGCGGAAATCGGGTATAGATGGCTCGGCGATTCGCTGAGGGGGGGGCAGGCGTTGGAGTCCATGGGTATTGGGCGAACATCGAATTTAGATGACCCGGCTGGCCAACATTACTACGGAGGTCAGCATGCCAGCAGACGCGACATTCCGACAGAGAGTGTGGCACAGACTGCGACAAAGTAGGAAGTGTCATGATAAACGGAACAACCATAAGGGTGAAATTCGTTTAAAGGAGAGACAAATGTGGTGTACGCTATTTATATTGACAGATATAAGTAGTATGTAGCAATAATGACAAGTTGAATGCATACCTGTAAAAGATTCAGAAGATTTAATTTAAAGAAACAGAAAGTAATTGCAATAACAACAGAATTGAAAGAATTATGAATCATGTAAATGATAACTGATGGAAGATGTGTAAATCATGTATTTAATGTATGGTTTTTATATTTTGTGAAAGCCCATTGTAATTTTGTATTAAACAATAAATTAGTTTCCATAATGGATTTAAATTGCTTACAGAATATTGTAAATATATACCTAATGTGAAAGAATATTCTACAACATTCATTGTGACAACAGTTCAAAGGGGTAGAAACAATCGATTACATAATGAATAAACATTGATAGGAATATAGTGATTAGAGTTCAGTTGGAAGATTATTAATTTGAAGGATAGTTGAAAAAATAAATTAGAATCAATGATGTAATAAATGCAACAGAAAAAAGGGGAAAAAAAAGAAAAAAAAATTTTAAGGTTCAGTGAAGGAATATTTGTCACCAGGGTAAGGAAAGATTAACCACCGTCTCCTTTTGAATACATACGTCAGGTTTTTGTCGCCTGATGGCAATGACTTCAGCAAACTTCAGAAGACTGGAGGTTGGCTGCTTACTAATCACCCTAAAGGACTGTAAGATATCTACCTGATGTCCTGTACCAAGGAGATGTTTGGTGATTGCATTGCTCAGAGTCTTTCTTTCCCTTGTTCTAAGACTTTTTGGAACATGTTCAAAGAATCTAAGATATGCTCTCCTTTCAGTTCGGCCGATGTACCTGCTTTGGCAGGTACACGTAAATTTATAAATACAGTTGGCGGTAACATGAAAGGGTTGCTTGTCGATCTTTGATTGGGTTATTGAACATGTTGTTTTATAGAGAATTAAAAGTTTAGCAGCCGGATAAGTTCTGGCTAGCGCTGTATTCAGTCTCTTGTTGATAATTTGTGCGACGTCATCACCTTTAAAGTAAAGATTTACAATCCTTTAGGGTGAATAATAAGCAGCCAAACTCCAGTCTTCTGAAGTTTGCTGAAGCTATTGCCATCAGGCGACAAAAACCTGACCTATGTATTCAAAAGGAGACGGTGGTTAATCTTTCCTTACCCTGGTGACAAATATTCCTCCACTGCACCATAAAATTTTATTTATTTCTTTTTTCTGTTGCATTTATTACATCATTGATTCTA